AAAAAAAAAAAAAAAGAAAGAACACAATTAGTGTGGTCTTATCTGATATACACACTCAGTGTAAGTCCCAGGAAATCTGAACTGCACAGAGATTAAGAGGGCTGAAGCACACTCACTTTCCTGGTCCTGAAATGAAATCCTTTTATCTGTATTTGAATTTAATAGTGATGACAGCGCAAAGGGAATGTGCCATATCATGTAAAAAGGCAGGTTTGCTCCCGTGCTTGGGAACCAGCTTGCTGAGTAACAGAAGGTGCCCTCTGTTCTTCGCAGGCTGGCTGTGGACAGGATTAAATGCAGTGACAGTTTAACAAGATATTGGTCTCTCCCCACAAACTTTTCATTTCTGACTTCTTCCCAGACAGGAAAAAAGAATGTTGATTTATTCACTGGTGCCTGGCCCGAGCAGCTACCAGCACACAGAGCTGAGGGCTGCCCCTGGGCTGCACATTCACACAGCAGCTGACTGCAGGCACTGCTCATTCCCTCCTTGTAAATACAACAGCAAAGCAACATTGTGCAGCAGATCGTAGCCAAGGGATCATTTCAAGGAGCAAAAAAGCAGAACAGGTAATGTCCAGAGCTGAGCAGTGAGCTTGCTTGCATCTGTGAGTAGAGAGCATTCCTCTGAATCAGCAGTGGCATGAGGGGACTATCACCAGAAAACAGCCAGCTGGAGAGATCCCAGCCCAGCTGTCATCTCCAGAGCAACAGTTCTCCATAAATATTGACCAGTGCTGATGGCCAGGGGCAGGGTTTGTGCCAAATGGATAGTCCCCCCACCTGTTTTAATAAAACATCAACCAGTGTCATTAATTAGGAACTGCTTTCCTTCCCCAGGCTCCCTCTAAGGTTTATCCTCCAGGTGCATCAGTTATCACCACATGGTGTCCAGGGCAAGCCATCACCCACACCTCAGGTGAAAAAAGGGCATGTCTGGAGCTGTATTTGGGGTTTTCATTCAAGAGCTGTCCTTCAGTATAGGGCATCTGCATCCCAAAAAGATTTACAACTATGATGGTCGCACTGCTTGCTTACTGGCCAGGGAAAGGAGTACAAGATGGAGCATGTGCAGCTATTCCATGAGCAAATACATTTCCAAGAACTTCTCAAGGCTTTCCACAAAGCACTTTTCAAATGTCAGGATAATTTGGTTCTATATTGGCTCCAGGAAAGCCCAGTTTCAAATACCCCCAGCACCAAAGGATGTGTGCAATCACGTGTGCCATCATTTGGTAAAAGGGATGTTGCATTAATGAAGGCTTTGAAAAATCCATTAGAATGATTAATGCAGTAAATAATTTACTGGTCAAATGGCTGCATCCATAAATGCTGATTTCTTCAGCCATATTCCTAATAAATGTGTTGTAAGGACAAGGTAAGGATAAAATAAGGACTAAAGGAAATGGCCTCAAGCTGTGTCAGGGGAGGTTTAGATTAGATTTTAAGACAAATTTCTTTAGACTAAGGGTTTTAAGCATTGGGAAGACTGCCCAGGGAAGAGGCAGAGTCACCATCCTTGGAATTGTTCAAAAACCTTGTGAATGTGGCACTTCAGGACATGGTTTAATGATGAACATGGTAATGGTGCTAGGTTAATGGTTCGACTTGGTGATCCTAAAGATCTTTTCCAACCTTTATGATTCTAATGGAAGTGAGATGGGCAACTGCTGCTGAAAAAAAATTATGCTGAGCTTGGGTTTGACAGCTGCAGATTTCTATTATTGTTCAGTGGATTTTGGTCTTTGAAAATCAGAGATACTGCTGATATCTGTTTAGTTATCTGTGCAGAGATAAGGAGTACATCTGGGTTAGGCAATACACAAGTATAGCACTTGTGTAGGTGCACACAGCTTGATGCCTGGACATGAGAAATACCTGACACACAGAACTAGTCAGGCCTCAGCAAACTCATTACTCCTTGCAACTAATTTCAATTAAGTGCCTCTACAAATCTGAGAGTTTGAACCTAGAGGCCCCCATCAAAGGGCTGTGGAATGCTGGAATGTGAAGGCAGCAGAACACAGCCACAATTTGCCATCCCACTGCTGGCCTAAACCTCCTCCACAGGACAGAGCCAAGCACAAGCTCTCCTGGAGATTGCACCAGTGTAATTACATGCCAAGCACACAATTCATTGCAGCCTTTTCTCCTCCAGCCAGTTTTGCACCTGCAGGAAGATCTCGCTGAGTGAGCCATCAAAAAGCCGGTCACATTTAGCAGCTTGAATAATTAGGAGCCTCCTTGTTCCACAGTGATTCCACCGGTGCTTTTTATGCTTCAGTGCTTCTCAACTCTCTCTTTCTTCAAACAACATTTTAATTTAGGCCTGTGCTCTCCATCCTGGAGAGCTTCATATATAATTCAGAGAAGGCTAAAGTGACTGGCCTCTCCATCTCTGTTTAACACCTTCATGTCAGCGAACAACCCTCTCTGTGCTGAATCCTTTCAGAGGCTAATCTGTGCCAGATCAAAGGGGAACAGCTTTTAAGGCAATCTCCACAGAGCTGAGGTGATTATTAATTCATTGGAAGGTCTCCTCTGAAGTGCCCATTTATTTTTTGTATGCTAATGCATTTAAAGGGTTGACGGTTTAAACATGGGCCCTAAATCACACAGTGAAATGTTTGCTGAAAGGGCTGATCTTTTATTTACAAAAAAATCCTGATACTCACTTCAGCCTTAGAAATTGCCAGTTTGGGATTTATGTGCTGATAAGCTAAAACAGCTCTGAGGAGATCCCTTTAAAAGTGACCACTCACAAGTATTCTCAAAATGCCTCCAGGAACAATAATAAAATAATTTCATGTTCTGAGCATTTTTTAGCCTGACAGTGAACAATCCCAGCAAGCTGTCTGTCCCACTGCAGCTCACTCTGTTAAGTAATCAAACCACTCCTGTCTGCCCCAAACCAACCTGATCCACACGTTCTTCCACGCTAAGGAATGTGCTGCAATCCCCTGCACAAACCTTCCCTGCACATATCCCTCAGCCAGACTCAGCTGGCCCAGGTCCACGTGCAGTGACAGGCATCAGTCAACAAAGGAAAGAAAGATATAAACCAAACTTCCTTAGCCTTGCACAAGCCCTTAGTGCATCCTTGGCTACTGGCAGCCCAAGCCAGCTATCTTTTGGAGGTGTTCCTTCTGCTGGGTGATAAACATCACATCAGGCCACAGCATTTCACAGGGGAGAGCAGTAGCTGCTCGGCCCAGAGCTCCCAGCACAAAACCCCACAGGCTGCCCCTGCTCCCTTCCTTCCTCCTCCTGCTCCTTGCTGCTCCTCCTGGCCTCTGCCTGACCCCCACAGCTCATCAGGGCTCACTGCTCCTGCTTTCCAAGTCAAGCCTTTTGCTGAACTCTTTCCTTCCATGCTGTCCCCTCTGGATTTTTCACCACTCTCCTGTTACCTGCACCCAGAATTTTTAACATATCCTGTTGGAGGGATGTACCACCAGGACAGCTCTGTGTGCTCCCTTCCACCACCTTCTCTCCCCTGTCAAAGCAGCACTACACACTCAATCCTTACAGCCTGCAAAGCCCACTGGACAAAGTCTCTGCTCCCATCACCCTTCCAGCTGCTCACATGGTTTCTTCTGACAAACCAAACATTTCAGTCAGGCAGCCAAGGACTCTTCTACCCACCACATCTGCTGCTCTGCCTCTTTTCTGGCAGTCATGGGAAGATTCCCTGACTCTGCATGCACAGCAATTCTTACTGACTTCTCTCTCACCCCCACGCTACTTCTGCTTCCCTGCCTGGCTCCTGCTGTCCTTAAATCCTCCTCTGCCTTCTGCCCCACTTCACTTTCAGCTGCAACTTGGTCCCCTCCATGTGGGCCCAGCGACTCCCCTCAGCAACAATCAAATGCCACCTCTGTCTGTGATTTCAGATTTGTCTCCTCTGAGCACTACATCTCCACAAACCCTGCCACGGCTCGTCCCACTCCCCGAGGAGCCTCTAATGAGAGCGTGACAAAATCCCGCCCGCCAGGACTCATTCCAGCCATCTGCTCTCCATCGAGGTACTTTTACTGCACCTCTGGCTGTGCCACCCCAGCATCAGAGACAGCAGCATGGGGGGGTGCTGAGAACTTCAACAAAGGCAAGAGGTAATGATTAGAGACTCTTGATTTGTCACAAGCCATCAGAGACTCCTCTGACAGGGCTGATTTATGTCACCCGTTTCAAATGGAGCAGGGATTGTACAGAGCAATGTGAAAATCCTTGCGAAGGCCAAGCAAGCCATAAACATTTGCAAGGCGCATGCTTGCCTTGGGATTCTTTTTATCTCTTTAAGAGCCTGTGCCCCATGGTGCCTTTTATTGTCACTGCACATGGAACTGAGCCCAAAAGATCACTCTCAGAAAGAGTATCCCACAGAAACGAATCCTGTTTCAATCCTCTGTTGTAACAGGAAGTGGGGTGATTTTTCTCTTCTGTTTATTGTTATTTGCTGCATCAATCAGTGCCTCACTGAAGATTGCAAGGGGTCCTTTTTGTTGCTTGTTTGCTTTTAGAAGTGAGGAATGGTTGTGCTGAATTTTATACATGAAAACAGCTTAAATTCCTCTCTGTGTCTGAACTGCAGTATGTGGCACAGTCTGTTCACCATTCAGAAAGGAAATAATTGTCTCATACCTGCTTAAAAACGTCAGTGCTTGAAAACCACATTTGCACTCTTGCAGTGAGCCTGCAAAACTACCACAGCTCAGATTTTCTGTTGTTTCTCTGTCTTTTTCCAAGGTGAGGGAGTTTGCATAAAAAGGGACAGACCCAACCCCACACAGGCACACAACTAAAGTGGCTTGCAGAATTCAAGCCCAGGGATACTCACAGCTTGCTCAGGTTTTCCAGGCCTGTAAAGGCTCCATTGGTATCTTCTATTGTGCCTGAGATGTCGTTGTGGTCCAGTTCCCTGGGGAGAGGACAAGAGAGAGCTCAGAATCAGCACCTGAGTCCCAGTGTTGCTGTTACAAACAAGTGGAGGAGGCTGGAGAGTGCCACATGAGAGCTTCCCATTTTCTCCTGACAGTTACCATGAAATGCAGAGTCCTGCAGCAAAGCAGCACCAATCACTTCTGCACTGACACACGGTGGGATGGTGCATCCCACAAAGAGCTCTGCTCCTAGCTGAAACCCTCTGAGACAGCTACTTTTCACCAAGTAGGTTCCTGTCCTTTTCTAGCTCTGTGCATCCAAACAGGAGGAGGAAAATGAAAATAAAGTGCACCAATTAAACTGAAAGAAATAGCTGTCCTTAAATGCTACTCTCATGAAATAACATCACTTTGGGTATTCCAGTGTATACATGTGTTTGTCTATAGCTGAATCTTAGGAAGATAATTTGGTGTATTTTCTACAAAGCTGCATTTTTTCTGGCAATGAACTTGAAAACTCAACAAAGGAAAGTGCCAGCATCACTACACCAGCCTAACTCTGTATAACCATTTAAAAAAAACCAAGAGAATTCCTTTTTCAGAGTTAGCTTCTTTTGGCTTTCAAATTGACCATCAATTACAAGAGTCAAAGAGGTCTGAAGAAAAACAAGCACACAGAACAAACACAGAGATCCACAAAAGCTGTTTAAACAGACTGTTTAAAAATCCTTCCCTCCCAGCTTTTAAATCCAACTAGCAATGAATACCCAGCAACACAGACAGAAATTCATCATTTCCAATGTTAAGTAAAAAGAAAGAAAAACTAAATAGGCTTTGTTGGTTTTGTTACATCACTCTGATTTAAAACCTGGCAAAACACAGCACCAAAGCAAACTTCACCATCCAGATAACCCCTGAGCCCTCAGGTACTCCTTTCGCACCTTTTGAAGATGATTATCAGAACGTTTCCAGATAAAAAAATATTAAGACCAAATAAAGAAAAACCAATTCCCCCTGCATTTTGCAACACTCCAGACACAGGCAACACAGTGTGGCATCTGGGCAGCACAAATACACAGTAACTCACAGGAAGGGAGAACAAATTTAAAAGGAAGCCCCAGTTTCAATATGGGAATGGTTTTCCCTCAGCTGTCTCAGTCTTTGCTCCTTTCTCTGCTTTAGGGTGAACTAACGATGTGAAGGAAGATGGCCAAAAGCCACAATTCCTGTTTCTCAGCTGGCTTAAGCCTGAGATCTGAATCTCATGACCCTGGAGAGCCCTGGCCTGAGCCAGCATCACTGTGGATGCCAGGGTGATCTGTGGGTTACTCTGTGCCAAAGGCATGGACAAAAACTCAACATCCCCGTGGGGTGTGGGCACACAGAATGCTGTGGTGGCCAGAGCGATGAGCCCAGGAGAATGCTTTGATGTGCTGGCATTTCCAGCACCATCCTAGTGGGATAGGAGCAAATACATCCTCCTGGAGTTCAGTTTCTACATTTTCCCTAGGCTTGCCAAGCCGATGTCCCTTGTTCTGTTTGTTTTTTAAGGGAAAATCCCTTCTCAGACATTTCTCCTCTTCGGTTTCACCACGGGCTACTGTTCTTTGGAGCAGCAAACCCTTTCCCATGGCAGAGGCAGACAAGTGGGGACAGCCTGTAGGAGCTCTGACACACACTTTTATTAATTGACTGCCACACATTGTGTTTTCTTGAAAAAGGGAAAGAAAATGGTATTGCTTGTTCATCCAGTGGCAACTCAAAGGTTTAGTGTTAGAAAGGAGGAATAAAAACCTTTTTAACAAATGAGTGAAAATAGAGAGAGGGAGAAAAAAAGAGTGGGGTGTTTTGGCCCAGCTCTCTTTGTATTCCAACTCCTCTCCCAGCCCCTGTTGCCAATTTCCTATTCTTTCTGGCTGGCTGAGCTTGAATGCTCGAAGCCTTGTTAATCATTGTGCTCAGAGGTCTCTTGGCCTGACCTCTATTTGAATAGCTCCACATTTCAGCAGTTTCACACCCACCAAAGGCTCCCCAACAATAGCCCATAATTAAAGCATGCTCAGCTCTTTTTCACCAGGTGCAGGACCCAATAGGCCTTCCTCTTTATTAAATTAGAGCTCGCTCACACACTCCCTCTCCACCTCCCCCCTCTGCCCTGGACATAAAAGAGGCTCCACATTCACTGCAGAGCAAAGAGAAGGACCAGCTTCCCTTCCCCTCCATTTTTCTTTGGAAACCTTTAGTTCCGGTCCTGACAGCTGCCTCAGAGGTCCCTTTCTGAATGCCCAGTGGCTGAAAGGCTTTGGCTTAAGTTTAAAAAAAGCAAACAAAACCCAAACTCACTTTCCAGTCACTTCCTTCACTATGAACTTCAATAAAGAAAAGAGTACGATTCAAAAAGTACTGTAAAGAGGGGAGATTTTTCTGTTCCCATTTCCTTTTAATGACTCGGGCCACAATGGGCTTCTGAAGAGGAATAAAAGTATCAAAGTGTGTTTTTTTCTTTTGAAGGAAGAATTAAATCAGTTTGCTGAACCCAACCAGCCTGGGAACGTGTCTGGTGCTGTCACAAGGACTGTGAGAACTCTGTGGTGTGCCAGATGAAGGTGCTGAGCCTGCAGCTCCCAGAGAGAGGAGGAGAGCAGCCAGCAGCCCTGCAGGTTCCAGAAAGGAGACAGAGGCAACACAGCTGCAGGAAGGGAACTGGATCCCCCATCTGCTGATGTTCATAACACAAGTCCAGATGTATTTCAGTCTGACACAGCTCTCAACAGTGTACAATGGTACAATGCTACAGCTGCACCCCACAGGAGGCCACACGGATGTGTCCAATGGGCTCTGCCACTCCTAAAACCTTACAAGTTGGTATTTGGACTAGAAAAGCTCATTTCCAGTATCCCATCTCCAGGTATTATATTGTGGCAGTGGTTTTAAAATAAAAGTCTGTGCTAAATGGCCACAGCCAGCACTGGATGGATCATTTCTGCAGTGCAGTACTAGGGCACATGAAATGTTGCTCTTGGCGACTTTTTGGTTTTTCAGGGTTTACCATGAAAATCAGAGCACAAAATGTTTCATGGGCCCAATTGCATTAAAGACTTCTGCTTACTTGCATGGTACCTGCAAAAGCTTCTTATTTCTGTGACTGGACTGAAGGCTGGGTGAAGCTTCATGTGTGATTACACTTCTGGTACAGTCAAATCTCAAGCCTAACCTCTACATTGTTTTGCCATTGGGTTTTTTTTCTTCTCAACATCATATTATGATAATCACAATTTTATATTTAATCATAATTTTATACTTAATATTCAGCTTTTTAAAAAGTGTTTGTGGTAGCACATTTCTCTCTGTACACCTCTATGAAAAATCTTGAGAGAGAGAAATGTGCTGTCACAAGTGCTCAATAGCACATTTAAGAGGATATTCAAATTTCTACTGTTGTCAATGTAAGGAATCATTCTCTGTTCCTTACTGAGTGCAGAATGACCCAAAAGAAACTAAGCTTTTCTAAGAATTTCAATTAAAGTCAATGTGATAGCAAGAGAAATACTGCTATTAGCTGCAGGAATGAGACCTCAGGGATTTTTGATCAGCTGAGGTGGCTTCAGGAACCTGAAACTGCCAGACATGGGCACCCAAAGCATCTTCAGAGCAGAACCACCTGGCAGAACACAAACTGTGGAGGGAACGTGGGTGTGGTCTGACAAAAGCTGTGTGCAACTTACAGGACACGCAGGTTTTTGAGTCCCCTGAAAGCTCCTTCTGCAATATGATGGATGGAGTTGTGGCTCAGCCGCAGCACGTGCAGTCCCCCAAGGTCTGCCAGGCTCCCCTCGTCCAGCCTTGTTAGGTTGTTGTAGGAGAGTATCCTGAGGGGAAAAAAATGCAACAGCAGCTCTTGTCAATCCATTCGGTATTTTCCAAACTCCTCCGTGCCAAGCAGTGCCTGCCTCCCACACCCACCCAGGGGATGTATTGGGTGGGTGGGGAAATAAGATTGCAGGTATTGCCCCAGGACACCCTTGGGAAAGCCTGGGTGACTCCAAGGAGCAGGAGGCAGCTGGTGTGGAATCCCCAGCGATGGGGAAATTTTCTGTGCAGGCTACAGGGAGAGGACAGCCCCAGGAGTGACTGAGAGCACACACACTCTGCCAGCCCCAGCAGGGAGGGCTCCTCCTGCTCCCTTTGCAGCTGGGTGAGGCTCAGAGCACCAGCCCTGTGTCCCCACAGGTAGAGGCAAGGCTCAGGTGGCTGTGCTCAATCCTCACTCCCTGTGAGGCTCACAGGGAACAGCAGGGGAGAACAGCCCTGCTCCCCACGCCCTGCGAGGTGCAGAGTGATGTCACACAGATGGATTTTGGATTTCACACACGCTCTTGGCAGGGTCCAGACTTCTGTGCTCAGGAGGTGTCTTATCATTCTGCACTTGTGCACAGCCAGCCCCAGGCTCTGGGTGTGGGTGCCTCAGCTCCACCCCAGTCCAGAGCCAAAAGCATTTCACCACGAGGCAATTGAATGCTTCCTTTCACCCACAGAGAGGAGGTGTCTTGTAAACCAGCCACCTTTCCTTCCTCCCACTCCTCTTTGTCAAGGAGCACAGTTTGCCTTAAATCCTCTCCACTTACAAGAGACTATTGGAGGGTTGGTTTTCTCCCTTGCTTTCCATCTATCTCTTCCCCTTGCCTGCATTATCTCTGGTCTGGGAGATTTTTTTTAAGCACTGCTCCTGCTGCAGTTTGGAAGCTGGCAGGAAGGCAGCTGCTCTCCTCTCCCAGCAAGGTGCAGATGAGGCTTTGGAGATGTGACACTGAGGGAGAGCCTTGGGAAGCTGCTGCAGCCCTCTCACACTCTGTGCAAACACCTTCTATCCAGTATGAAGCCCTGCAGTGGAAGGCCAGCCTGGATTCTCAAATGAGGCACCTCTCAGAGTAGCAGCAGGCACCAGATTTTCACAACCACCTTCTTAGTGACCTGGGAGTACAACTCACTTCAAAAGATGTGAGGGGTTGTGCTGCTCAGCTTTTGAAAAAGTGAAACAGCTTTGAACAAGCACTGAAATTCCTCACTGTACAGAGGATAAAAAAAAATTCACTGAGTTCCAAACCTCCAAATTCCTCTTCTAGTACTGCCTGTTAATGAGTCTGCTTAAAAATGTGTCTAGAACTTGCATGAAACTCACTGCAAAGCCAAAACCCAAATCCAAACAGACACATACTCCAAAGCACTGAGAGTGTCATTTACTTGGCAAAGGTGCTGTCTTTTAGCTGTATGAGTGGGCAGAGGGCAAGCTCTGGAAAAAATTCAGCAAAGATTAATGAGTTTGTAGGTATGGGACAACATACTTTCATTCCTAAAGAAGCTATAGTGTTAGTTATGAAAAACTGGCATCTGGTCAAAATTATGTTCTCACCTGCTATTAAAGAATTTGGCTTAAAAAAAAAAAGAAAAAAATCTGTTCAAAAGTAATCCTAAACCTGGCTGAGAAAATAAATAGTTCTTTTTGACTGCACACATTAAGAGTTCCTGCCACAACTGGTGAAGGCATGTTCCCTCTGTTTGTTTGGATGTCACCCCAAGATGGACAGACAGCAGCAGGACAGGGAAACTCTCAATGGTATCACAAATGGAAGGTTTCAGGAGCTCTTGCACTTGGCAGTGGCTTCTTCAGCATGCCAGGGCTCTGCTTCCTGCCACAGGCCCAATTTGCAGAACATCAGGTTTCCCCCCTCAGCTCAGCAGTGTGGATTATGTGGTTGAGAGAAGCCAGCAGATCTCTGCTGTTTCCCCAAGTCTGGCATCTCTACCAGTGAGAGAGAAATCACTGGCATGAATAAATGGCAGCGTTTGTCTACACAGCCCTTCCAGCCTGGCCAGAAGAAGATTTTGAGCACCATGACAGAATTGGTGCAGAAATGGGTTAACCAGAACTCTGTTGTGCAACTGGAGCTGCTGCTGCCAGCCTGCTCTGGACCAGGAACATCTAACACACTTCACTCCACTGACCAAGCTGCAGGTAAAAAAGGGAAGGAAAACCCAGCAGCCAAGTCTCCATTTACCTCTGATGAAATCCTCTGCTCCCCCTGTGGTTTTTTTCCATGATGCTGGTGCTCTAGCACCTGACTGGTGAATACAATCAGCCCTTTCTCATGCTCAGAACAAGGCAAGAGCTTTCTTTCCTTGTCAGCTTTTACATCAGAACAGAGCCTTGGGTTCACGTTTTGTCCCAGCAACTGAATGAGAGATAACTCCTCCTTCAGATTATCAACTCCCTCCTTAGAAGACTTTGAAATTCATTCAATGTTTTCAGGTAACTGAAACCCAGCAGGTTTAGCAACAGTGGAGGTGAGCAAGGATCTTCCAATCAGGAATGAAACACACACAAAGTGCACGAGTCAGTCTAGATTATCTACAGCTTCCTTTCCTCACCTCTCCTACAGGTACTCTCTGGCTGTGGGAGTTTCAGCTTGGAGATCTGATGGCTCCCTGCAGCAGCCTTACCCTAAAGGCAACACCTGAAAGAGTTTGTAGTGCTGTGCAGGGCTGTGCCACCACCCACACAATGGCTTTTCCCATCCCAGCCACGGAGTGCCTGGCCTCAAACTGCAGCAAATCCTGCCTGTCAGCTCAGGCACACCCAGTGGCTCACACCACCTGGCATTTTCCAAATCTACCCCATCCTGCACCCAAATTTCTGTAATTACTGCTCCTCAGTCAGGACAGCTCACTGTTAGAACTGCTTGTTGGATGAGATCCTAACCCATACCTGAGAAAAAGGACTTGGCAACCTCTAGTCTAAACCTTGAGGGCTTGCAAGACAGTGTCATGTAGAGAAGACAAGCTTAGCTCTCCCCTAAAAGGGTTCTGACATTAGCCCTGTGAGGTGCAGCTGGGCCTGACCCATCCCAGCTAACCCAGGCTGAAATAAAGCTCAGCACAGGCACCAGAAAGCTCTCAGAGCTGTGCAGTGCAGAGATCTGCATTTGGCTGTTCCAAGGATTCAACTGTGAGTGCCTTGGCAAGGCAAGTTCCCCTTTTTTTGATGCTTCAGATTTTAACAGAACAAAGGCAGAGCATGGTTCCAGTTCTGATCTGCTGCCTTGAAGATTTCTCCATTAACACTGCATTAATCTAGCAAAATTATCATGTGAGGATCTACACATGAAGGAACTGCAGCTGCCCACTGAATTGTGCAAGGCATGGGCAGTTCTGCAGCAATTTGAAAAATTAGGTAACGAAACAATTATGTGTGCATTTCATTAAAACAAAAAATAAAGTACTTCCTTGTGTGCCCAGAAAAAATAACTAACATCGGAACAAAAAATTTGGGTTCAACAGAAGACCACAGGGCTAGCATGTTAATTCTAAGTGTAAAGAAATTACACGTGTCATGTCCACCCATCTCTGAATTCACTGGGTGGGCAGACACCAACCCCTAGTGTGAGAGCAGAGTGAGGCCTCTGGGAGCAGGAATTTGCTCTTTGGTGGACAGGAGACTCCCTAACAAAGTTTAACATTTCCCTGCAGCAAGCAGAATGAATTCCAGTTCCACTGACCATGTGTCAAGTTCACCAAAGTAAAAGGCAAAGCTTTTCACAGTGCCACCGAGGGGATGGCAGCTACTTCTGTAAATACTGCAAGCATCCCTGTGTGTGTCACTTCAAAAAGGCATTAAAAGCAGTGCCACAGACCCAAAAGACACCCTTGTGGGGCTGCCCTCAGCAGCAAGGCTTTCCTTCATCTGTCAGGCTGTATTCCCAGCACCTTAGGAGGGCAAAGCCCATGTATTTACTTTTCAACAACTCAACTCTGCAGGAAGGATAAAGTGTAAACAGGAGAAACAAGGAAAACTGCCTTGAAAGGGCCAAAATCTCTGCTGGTTGAAAACATGACTGTTCTTTGTAAATACAGAGGATAAAGCAAAGCTTCCTTCAGGCTGTACAGTTATTATATGGCATGTTACAAGCCTTGTAACTCGCTAGGTAAAAACATTGGCAAGCCACAGCTCACAAACTATCCAGGTCTTTGGCACTGTGCACTTTTAGCAGGTTTTAGCCTTTGTTTCTGGTACAAATGTGTTTTAACCAGGTGCTCTGAAGGTCATAACATCATAAATAACAAAGGCATCACTTAGGAGCCTGCAGATCCTGCATTTCTACAGGCTGATACAGTGGGAGCTCTAAGCCTTGAGAAAATTCCTTACTCCCCTCTCTCCTGCCAACATTATACAACACCACAGAAACCAACTTACAGCTCATGCAGCTTCTGGCAGAAGCTCCAGCCATCAGGGTTGATGCGGGATATGGAGTTGTTGCTGAGGTGAAGCTGATGCAGAGAGGAAAGGCCATAGAGAGAACCACTGTTCACTTCTGTCAGGCTGTTATATTCCAGATGGCTATGGAGAAAAAGCAGAAGGAATTGACAGATAAGCAGCACTGGTCAAATGCTGAAACAATTTCCAAAAATAACTGGGATTTTAGCCATTCCTACACACCTTCCACGTGGACACATGCATGTGTGGGTATTTCTTGTCAAACAAAGACAGAAATTCAAAGACAACACAAAGGAAATGCCCAGAAGGAGATGCGACTTCAAAGAAAAGCTCCACTGCAAGTAAACTGGGCTTAAAGCATCCCATTCAAGTTGGTATTTGCAGAGTCTCAATTGTGTGGCAGCAGCACCCAGAAACATGCTGCCCTCATCACCTGGGACCTCGCAAACACACCTGGAGGCCAGGTGTGTTGGAAACTTCAGGTATTTCTCTGCAATGACTAATCAATTTATTCTCTGTTATGGAAAGAAAACATCACCAAGAATGGCCAGCTTGGTTTCTAGGTATCCCATGAGGTGGATAATACTGTCTGCAACACAGATTTTCCATCAACCAATCAAAGAAAATTTGCAGAATCCAGATATTTAAAGACCAATCGCGATAAAAGCTGAATGTTCAAACTGTCAAACTTTCAAAGCAATAGTTCCACAGCTTAAAAAACAGTGCTGTTTTTATTGAACACCTGTTGAAGCAGTGAGTATTTGTAAACTGTGGGTCAGCTAAAGAGAAGCTGCTGCAGCAGTTCTGGGCATGCAGGACAAAGAAAGAATCACAAGAAGTGGCACAGGTGTCCGCAGGTCACTGCTAAAATACCAAGAAGGATGTGACAGCAGCTGAAGGTGTTTAAGGAAAAAGAGCCCATTTCTCCAACTTACAGAACTTGCATTTTGGCCAGACCCCAGAAAGCCCCGTCAGTCAATTTGCTGATGTTGTTGCGCTGGAGTTTCAGGACTTCCAAGCTGTCCAGTCCCTGGAACGTCAGGCCTTCAATCAGGCGGATGCGATTTCGGTTCAGCTCCCTAAAATCACCAAGGCCATACAAGTTTATTAAACCCCAGTCCTTTCTCACAAAGTCATTGTGCAGCACACAATGGGGACAGCAATGCCAGCAGCTCCTGTGTCAGTGGTTCCCAGGAGACAGCAGAAGAGCACCGGAAAGTTTCAATCCCAGCGCTATCCAGGGAAGGCAGCTGGGTGTGATCTCTTAAACAAACTCAGCCCGGGACAGACTTTCACTACAGAGAAATTACAGAGTGCAGCAATTCCTCTTCATCCCTCCTCTCTCTGCATTTCTTTTAAACCATTAATCCTTCTCATCACTTTCCACGCTCCATCCTCCCTCAAGCACAGACACCATTTGAACCAATGCTGTCAAACATCAGCATTAATTCCCTTACAAGCCATTGTTTTTATAGGATCTGTAATTGCCCAGTAAAAATGTGCTCTGAAACATGCAGGTGCCCCAAAAGTGTGGGCCCAAGAGGAAACTTTATGGCCAAGTCTGAAAGGAAAGCTTTCAGTTCCCCTGAAAAATGTCCCTTTTTTTTTTTCCCCTACTATCAGAAACTAATAAAGAGTGAAATAAGTGTTTCCAATAACAATGCAGTCTTAGTATTTGTGTATAGAAAGGTTTCCAGCCTGGTTGATTACATTTCTTTTGAGTTCTCCTGGGTGGGGAAGGACCCCTAAATTTTGGCAATATCTTTTTTTCTGAATAGAAATGTGAATATCATCACAGCACACTTTACCAAGATATATCAGTCTTATGGATTGCTTGACCCTGACATACCAGGTGAAAATCCAGTTCTGTAAAGTCAGTGGAGAACTTCAACACAATGCAGTAAAAGCTGAAGCTAAAGCTTTTAAAACTGATACTTTTCCACACATACAAGATTAAGCTGAGGATTGTTCCCTATTCAGTGTTTGTGTTGAGGAAAATGGTGGAGGTAACAACATCCAAACTTGTTTTGGAAAAGATGAAGAAGCCATAGAGACTTTAAGCTTACTTTTCAACTGCTGAAAAAAACAATGTTGAACTTGTGCTCAGATTGAGAATAATTAAGGTCAAGTAAGCAATAAAGATTTTGCAGGCCTAAAGTCCCTTGTGGTACTGCACTTCCTGGGCTATTAGTGAAACAGGCTTTGCCAGAAAAAAACTGTACACAAATCTACAACACACCAATCTGGATAACTTGCAATTCATTCATGTTTATCTGTAGAGTTAAACAACCAGCTCTGAGGCAGTCATTAAGAGCACCAATTACTCCATCTCTCAGTGCAAACCACGTTCCTAAACAGACTGAGTTGTTTTCATTACAGTTCTGCACATGATGCAGTCAAACACAGTGAATTAGAAGCCCTCACTTAATGGACAGCAACTTCCAACTGAGAGGCAACAGACTTTTCATATTGTGGCCCCCTATGCCATCCCAAACTGGTATAAGTCCTGCATGTATGCAGACACAAATGCACACCCATGCCTTGGGCATACCCAGGCTTGAGAATTTCTCTCTCAGTCCAGAGGTTGACCTTGGAGGTGTGAGTTCTAACAGCATTTGTGGACTTTATGTTAACAGACAGAGGTGGACCTTTTGCCTATCAAATTTGATGGCTGGGTCCATTTCTCCAACCGCAGTAGAAGGGAAAAGCTCATCCATTAGTGTTACTTTTTTACACATAAAGCATGTTTATAGCTGCAGATGTCTGCGTGTCCCCATGCAGGCAGAACAACTGTGTGTGTGTGTTAACTCATCTGAGCTGCAATTTTCTCTGCCCAAGTATCACCTCACAGTTTAACAACCTTCCCTCCTTGCTTTTTTATTGCTACATAAAGATACCTGTGTGGCCTTGAAACACTGACATGGCAGCTGGGCTCTGTCAATCTCAATAGAAACATCTTGCAAACCTCTCTTGCACCACAGACACCAGCAGCTTACAAGTGAATGGGTTTGTCTTACTCTTTGAGGTGCAAAAGATGCTGATGTCTGCTGCAGCATTCATCCCTCCCTACCTGATCCAAATAATGACCTGAAAAGCCAAGAGTTACAAGACAAAAAGGACCCTCTCTCAGTGTGTCTTCCTAGGAGCTGGCAGAGGATTCCTGCATAGTGGATTCTACATTTTACACACGGTAGCTGAGGACGGGTGACACGTGGTGTGCATGGATCATTTTATCTCCATGAAGTGTGGCTGAGCTTAATTAAAGTGGACATTTGTACTCACAGTTGTATTAGCCTGGGCAGCCTGAAGGCCTTGACAGGAAGCTGGGTGATCCTGTTTTTACTCAGACGAAGTGTCAGCAGGGACCTTGACAGGCTGTCAAAAGCACCAGGCTCCAGGGTGCTGATTCTGTTGCTCCCCAGGAAGCTGCAATAAATCACAGCAGAAAAATGAATGCTTCTGTCAGAAATTACCTTTTATCAGTGTTTAGTTGGTCTCCAGACAGGCTGGTGAAACTAAAGAGATGGCTCCCAACTGAATTTCTGGCTGCACACAGGGCACAGGGAGCCTGTGTGAATGTGGAGAATTGCTGGGCACTTCCAAAGAGCTCCCTGACATCCTCCTACTTGAACAAGGCAATCAGAAGTGGAAGCCAGAAACTGGAGACTACTCCAGTGCAGGATGATGCTATTCATTCCCTATTTTCTCCTCAGTATCTGTCCCAGAGGTCTTTTTTATTAGGATCTTTGTCTCAGCCACATGGGGCTCACAGGGACATCAGTCACAACACCACTCTCTTATACCCTCTTGCAACCAGGAACACGAATTTGGGTGTAAACTTTAATGCAGGCAGACTATTTGTCTTCAAATATATATTGAAGATATATATAAATGTAGATGTATATGTATATGTATATGCATATGTATATGTATATGTATATGTATATCTCTTCAAAGGTACCTAAAATACAGATTATTTCATGTTTCTTGGAATAGGCAAACATCCTGTTGGGAGTGTGTTACTCTGCTTGATCCCATTTTCTTCAAATAATCAGAGACATTTCTGTTCTAATATTCAGACAGGCACTTAAATGATGAAATAGTTGTTCTGGCTCCACTCTTCTAGATGCATACGGGTTTGTTGTAAGTTGTAAAGACACCTACACATGAAGGACATAGGATACCTGAAAGATACCTTTTCTCTGCAACACAATTCATAATAATCTGCATTCTTTATAGGTCCATCAGAAACCAAACAGCACTCAAAAAAATAACCTGACAATAGTGACAACGTGCTGCCTTCTAACTCTCCTTTGCACTTAAAATCCTGACAAATAACCCCATACTTCTTATGTTCATGACTTCTTTTTCTAAAGGTTGGGGCCCTTTTCTCTGCTGTGGTAACTCAACAAAAGCAGTTCCCAACAAGAAGAACTCACAGCTCCTTTATGTGAAGTCCCTGTGGGAAGCAGCCGTTTCGGATTTCCGTGATGTCATTGAAACTCAGGTCCAACGTTTCCAGGGTAACGTAGGGCTGCAGTTGACTGCCTTCAATGCTGCGGATCCTGTTGTGATGCCTGAAAGAGTCAGGAGGAGAAAAAGGGGCTGTTTAGTTCTCTTAGAAAAACAGAAAGAATACCCGAGGCTGTAGCAGGCTCCCAGGCTGGCCCTGAGTTTGTACACTCAGAGTTGTGGTGACTTTTTAACAGCTGAGGGGAAATCCCTTCCAGAGAGACATTCCCTAATCCCCTCACTGCCCCTCTGGCCAGAGCCAGCTCACAGGTATCTGCAGCCTTCCTGACACTTTTTACCTTCCCCAGAGCTATTGACTCCACTTATCAGCTTTTTCTCCCATTAATCTGGGCTTTCCTACATGCCTGCACTCCCAAACTGGATTTGTTACATGCAAGGACTATAGGGCTGTTCCTGAACCCCAAAGGTGAGGAGTGCAGATCAGTGGCTTAGCCAACATGACAAGGCTTTATCCAGAGAATGTGATTTTCAGAGAAGGAAACAAATAAGTAAATACAAACTCAACAAAAGTTAACATAACATTCTTAATTTCTACGGATTCTTCTGAAAATTCCCAGCTTTGCATTGTGTTTCAATGATTATAACACATTGAAATAAGAAGTCTTGCAAATGTTCTTGCTGGCATTTCTTATCTTTTGCTACTTTTGTCCCGCTGCACCAGCTGCAGGATCAGACACTGCACTGATCACCTGTGTTTGGTCCTGACAGGACAGCCTGAAGGATTCAACCTAAGGTTTTTCTTTAGAGAAAGTCCTACCAACTTCCCTCAGTTTGCTTCCACAGCCAGCAAACAGTTAAATACCTTTAGAACTCATCTGTACTCAAGAAGGTCTAAGTAAAAATCACCCCCTCACTGAGTCCTTTCTCTGACTCCTTCCTGGCCTGAGTCAGTAGAGAACAATAATCAATTAAAAAAATACATTGTGCATTAGTCACAAGAGGCAGAGCACATGCCTGATGTGAATTTAGACCAGTCACTGATATTCCTGGCAAGGCTGTGAGTGAGGCACTCCAAACAGAGAGGCTCACCAGACACTTGGGAACTTGCTGAATAATAAGAGATAGTAGAGAGAGTTCAGACAAGTCCTGTGCCTCAATCCATCCAGATACCTACTGGGTGAGCAGAGGAGGGAAAAGCAGCCAGTGAAAGCACTCCTGAGTGCAAGTCCCAGCTCCCCTGACAAAGCATCAGTCCTTTGAAACAAAAACAGGGATGTCTGACACAGCTTTTCAGGCAGTGAAGCTTTCAGCTCTTCAGGAGCCCATCTTCTCCAGCTTCACCCCCACTTCAGCTCTGCCAGGGGTTCAGACAAGCCCTCTTGGGAGAAAACCTCCTCCCTTTGACAGAAAATGCCAGCAGCACATGGCAAGGGACCTGCTCCCCACACCATGATCTGCCCTTCACCCTCCCTGTTATTAAAACCAGATTGTTTCACCACAACCTTTGCTGGTGTCCACAACAGGAAGAGTGTAAAATCTGCAACCCCAGAACAATTTGCTTTTGGGAGACTCACCCTTTAAACAGCCAGCACATGGCCCTTGCTTAACGCTAGGGAAACAGGCACAGAAACACTGCTTTGACTGAAGAGTTTAAATGATAATTAATTCAGTGCAAGCTCAGAAAACATGAAGGACAAATTTTACAGCACTATAGCAGTGTGCTGCTAATACAATGCAACAAGTTGTCAAGGAAAATCAAAGGAAAGCAATAATTTATGTCTCCAAACTGGTTATTCCATGGGTTACTGGCACACAGGTCTCCACAACCACAACTGTTTCAAAGGTAATGACATGGCTGCTATCCAAAGGACCAATATTCATTTACAGCTGGTAATAAAGTCTGAATTTTCACATCCATGCATGTGGTAGGACAGTGGTACACTGAATTTATAGTATAGCGAGACCAAAATACAGGAAAAATCACTATATCCATAATGTTGTGACCTTCATTAACTAAAAACATGGGCAGGAGGAATTTCTTTCCCCCTAGGACTAGTTTGGTGGTTGTTTGGGTTTTTTTTTTTTTCAATTAACTTGATTATTAGAATCACAAGGTTCAGAATTTTTTAATCTTTTTTCCTCCTCAAAAGAAGAGCACCCATTAAATGTGCATCTAATCCTGATTCAGGAAAGTACCTCAACAGAGACATAACTGAAGGCAAAGCACGAGCACATTTTCTGGAGCTCTCCTGAAGCAGGGGCTGCGAGTTCAGCTCTGATCTCATCTAAGCTGTGATGGCTGAGATGAATCTGGCTGTAAATTAACAGGAAATGAAGGCTTGTACAAACGAACGTGGAGAATCTATAAATCACCTGACAATCCCTACACAGGGCAGCTAAGTCTGCAAGGGACCGAGAGCACAGAGTTTGGACATGAAATGCTCTTCAGAAGCCAATGGGTTTATTGTGTTTTTTGTGGGGTTTTTCTGTTTGTTTGTTTGTTTTTTGGGGTTTTTTTTTGAGTATTAATATTTTTGTGCTTTGGTTGCTCAACATATATCCACTCTGCCCACCTACCAGATCTCCCAACCCGTCCCAGAAGACAGGCTTGAAGAAGGGAAGAAAAGGACAGGAAAGAACTATTTTGTTTGAGCCATGTTCGCAGTTTCCAGGTGACTCCTGTCTGTTCTCCTCTCGCTTTTCGTGCGCTGCAGCTGGCAGATGAGATGCATACATTATTTTACACAGGCAGAAAAACGGGCTCCTTTCTCTCCCTCTCCTTCAAACATGGGCTGACTCCAAATGTTAACTCTCAGCTCCAAACACCATCCAGGGCCAGTCCCAGCTGGGGAATGTCAGACAGTTTGCTGCACAGCACTGCACCCTCTCACAGCACTGCACTTCAAACAAAGCCTGCGACTTTTCCTATAGACAGCATGTGATCTGAAGGCAACAGAGCCCAAACCTTTTCCTAGCTTGATTACAATTTGTTTTTCATTCTTTTGGTAAGGGCCCAAATGTGATTTAACCCTTCCTGTTGCTACTTGGATCCTCTCAGCTCTCCTGCCTTTGTTCCCCTCTTCATCGCAAGGGAGTTTTGCAAAGAAGAAAAAAAAAAAAGACCAGTGACGTTATGAATTTGCCTCTCCCCTTTATCACTGACTGGAAAAGGGCTGGATTTCTCCCAAACACTTCACACTGGGTTGGCTTCAAATGTAACAGATCAGATTTTAGTACCAATTGCCAAAACCAGGCGTTTAAGCACAAATCATTGGTGCTTGCACAACCAACACCTCCAGGTATCCTTTCCTCTCCCCACTCCTTAGGTATCACAGCCTGGAAACAGCCTCCCCTGCCTCACTCCAGCCAGTGTTACCTCAAGAGTATACAATGACAGGGCTTCAATTTGAGATTGTGCAATTAGAGCCTGGAGTGGGAGCCAAGTTTCTTGGTTTCTATTCCCAGCTCTGGCACCAGCTCATCTGCCTTGGGCAAGTTCCTTAACCCCTCTCTACCTCTGGCTTTCCAGTGTGCATGGAAAAGGACTATGCAGCTAGGATGATGCAGCCTTTGCTGAGGACTAAAAACCTGGAGTGAAAGCAGCTCCAGCGAAAAAGAAATCAAAGGAACTAAGGAGCCCATCCAAGTCCGTTTAGGTTTGTTTATGAATAAGGGAGGATCTGGCTAAAACAACTGAACTTCCAAGTTCGTACCCAACGTCATTCCCAGAGACACCTCATCTGCGGCGAGCGCAGACCTGGAACTGGAACACCTCCGTGCCAAGCTAAGGTAACTGGAAGTCAGCAGCATCACTTCTACACTCTCTGTACACATGGCACTTGCTCAGGAATGCCTTCACCCTCGGGTCAGCACAGCTCCAGCCCCAGAGGGAGAGGAGAGCTGGGTGGATCCACCCTTTGGCCCTTCAGTCTAACCCCTGAGCCCCGCTCCAACAGCCCCAGGTAGTGCAGCCCTGCACTTTGCACCACCTTGGACAGACCCTTTGGGCTTCCAGGAGATTTGGATCAACCTCAGCCAGCTCCTTGCTGAACCAAGTGAGGAGCACATGAAAAAACAAACGCTCTCTGCTCCTCCGGGCTGAGAAAAACAAGCAGAATTCCAGCAAAGCCAAAGCCTGTTTGGGTTTGCTCCGAGTCAGGAGGGAGCTGAAGGGGGTGGCAGGAAAATAACAGGTGGCGCAAAGTCAAAGGCTTGCAGCATTTCCAGGAATCTCAGCTTGTATTTTAGAGGTAAAGTTACACTTTAATCCTGGTGCGTTTCCTCATTCGAAGCGTCTTTGTGAATATTTATTTGATAAACAGGCTGTGAAATGTTTTCCACCAGACCTAATAGGGGAAGAATTCACCTTCCTCTTTGCAGCAAGCAAGGAGACCACCACTCAGTTTAATTTGTACCTTAGCTTCAAACTCCCCGTGTGAAATGGATGCAGAGAGCAGCACAAAAACGTTCCTTTGTTGTTTGAGCCACATTCACTCCCCCCAGCAGCTGCCTCAGAAAATCAAAGCAAGACCCTCAGACAGGAATGCACGAGGGGCTTTGCTGGGCTGATTTAAATACAATCAGCACAAAACCTCCTGCTTTAGACAAAGCTTGAATTAAGGCTGCCATAGCTGCAGTGTGAAGCGAGGCTAAAGGCAGGGAGCAGTCACATGCCTGGCCTTCATGTAGTGTCAGCTTACAGATCTGGCCCGGCTCACCAGAGAAAAAGGAAAGCTGTAATACAGCAAACCTATTAAACCAGCACCTGTTATAGGCATCAAAAATAAAACCGAGCTTCTAAAGAGGGGCTCTGCACCTCGGGCGGGGTTCTATTAATATGCCAGCACATTTTCAAAACCAGCGTACAAGGGAGATCACACGACTAGAAAGTTTTTAAAAAGTTCAGGGTTTGGTTAGTATTTCCATCCTGATAAAGTATTGAAGAAACAAAATGCTGGAGCCAGAAAGAGTTATGGGGTTTGGTACGGAAGGACAGGCAAGGTTTGGTGTCACAGACTGGCTGTGCAAAGAGAGGGAGATCAAAGGCAGCGTAACCAGAGATGGATCACACACACTGTGACTAACACAAGCCTGGAACTACCTG